CGTTTTTTTGATTTTAGAATAGAAACAATGTCGTTAACTTGAGTTACACACTTATCTTATCTTCAATGATGAAAAATATCGACTGGGGGAATACACACTGATCCTCACCCATAAAGTAGTATGTTAATAGCAATTTTGTTGGCGTAACGATTGACGAAGATATTTTACTCGGAAAAGTTCCTTACTTGTATAGTGTCTCTGAAAATTAAAAAGTAGAGGTAGTGTAAAATGCCCGTTACACCAAGCTTTCGTGGATGTCCTTCAGACAAAAATTCGTACGCGCGCTGCTAAATGAATGATTGGTAGATAGGTCTGGTCGATAATACGGACTGAGAAGAATTATATTTCAATGGCGACGCACTCTACATGTGCATCTTTACTAATTTACGTAACTGAAAAGAAAATCCTACACTTACAATAAAACAGACCAAAGCAAAACAAAGCTGAAAATGTGTGTACAAGAGAATGGCTTGAAGCGACCCTGAGTAAGATATCCGGGCCAGTACTCGGAAGAGTTACCCCGCGCTGGCCAATATAAATCATCATTCTATTTTCATTAATGCACCGAACCATTTCTCAGTGCTCCTCGAAACCGTATGATGTATATAGTGAATACAATGAGCCACAGATTAGTCGCTTGTTGATTTTTTTGACAAAAAAAGTGCTTGATTGTACTTTGTTGCTTGACAGCCTTTTTAAAGCGTGAGTAAACCAGCTGATTGGCTTAAATTAAAGGTATTGTGTTAATTAGGGGACAAAAGGTGAACAAGGAATATTCACCGGGTGTTCCAAGTTTCTCTCCGAGAAACTATGGAGTGATGCAATGTGGCAATTTATAGAACAAGTCTCTGGAATCACTATTGAAGTATCGTGCCTATCATAACTCACGGGTCATGCATACGAATAATTTGCAGAAATGAAATGAGACATTTGGGTGAAAATGAAAGCATAATGAATACAATGAAGAACAGATTAGTCGCCTGTTGATTCTTGACAAAAAGACGCTTAATTGCACTTTGTTGCTTGAAAGCTATTTTAAGGCGTTACACATCCACGGACAACTCAGTGATTGGCTTGAAATTAAAGGTATCGTGTTAGGTACAAAGAGCTAGTGAGTAAGGATTATTTACCGCCTGTTCCGAGCGCAAGAAGTTTCGGTAAAACGGCGTTGTCATTGCTTTCTTTCCGAAAA